AAGGAGCAATTTCTGTGTAGATAGCGCGAGAATTATGGCCCCTCGCGAGGCGACGGAGGTTTAAGTCCTCCCCGGGTTCCTAGCCTTACAACTCCGTAATTTTTACCCTCCGAGAAGTTAAGAGTAATTTACTGGCTCCACGTAGGCGTTATTCGGCCCTCCGCCCTCGTCCCACCGTCGAGAGAACGGGGGTACCGCGCTGCAAAGCGTTTCGGTAGGTAGGTAGGTAAGTGGGTGGGCGGGTGGGTGGCTTCTCGTTCTTGTTAATTGTGTACCCTTGATGAACTTGATTTTCAGCATAGAACGACGCGGCGGTAAGATAGATGTTGGCAATATCACAACAAAGATAGCTATTCGTTCCCGGCTCTTAACGGCGACGTGTTTAACTACGGATGGCAGTCGACGAACTTGAACAAATTAATAGGCCAACGGTCTATACAACGTACTACGGCGCGATGACGATGTTTAAGTGGACAAGGAGACGTGATCGATGCGAAACGCGATGCAGAAACGCGACATTAGATGGTGATCTCGTCGGAATAGAATTCGCTCTACGGTTGACCAGCCAGATATAAATTGACCGAAACAAAAGACATCGTTCATGTCGAGAAACCCGTTTATTTCTAATCTGCGCCGAAATTTTGGCATTTTCGAGCAACAAAGCTGCGCGCATAAAAAGTTGGGTGATAGTACCTGATAGGTTTGAGATAGATAGGTAAGCCTGAGGAAGTCGAATGTCACGACGATCAATTCGAAGATCAATTCGATTTCTAAATGAGAATCTTTAGAATATGAGATTATATCAAACATGGAAACATACACATACACATGTAAAAAATGTATCAAACTGCTATTAAACTCTATACACGTAACTTTCTGTTGCTCGAACATGTTGAAATTTTGAATTGACTATGATGGTAACACCGTCAAAACATATTTCATTTCGACGATTCAGTTCTAGCTGGGTTCATGACATTGACCGATGTGAGATTTTCTCGTGCGTTACCGAATGATACCAATCGAGCGCTTAGTTTCTCTATGAAGTAGTGACTTTTATTTTGCAGCTGGGGATAAAATTGTGAGATTTATAGAACAAGTTTCGCGCCTTCTATCAAACTTTTCGTTGTCCTTATTTTTCTGAGTCTCTATTACGCAACGTTCAAGAGTAACGATGCCGTGTATTGCCGTTTTGCAGTTTATTGTTAAAACTACTTTGACGTACGTGGGCGTGGGAAGATAACGCGAGACTTTAAACTGCATATTCTTGAAGTTAGTCTTTATGGAGCTTCGGTAAAGCTCGCGGAAGATAACGCAAAAGAGGGAAGACATAACTCGTACCTAACTTTACTCATACTTAAGATTGAACAACCGAAGAAAATGAATAACAGCGGACTGCAAGGCTACAATAATTTGCGCCAAGATTTTCCTTTTCTCTTCTTTTCGTTTTTGAGAAGTATTAACGCCAGATATCCTCTCTTCAATGCTGGATAACGAATCATCAGTAATTTCCATCGAAACGTATGTCCTTACTCATCTCACGCAATGTACATATGCATATATTTAACTTTGATTAATTGGCGAATGTTTGCGAACAAAATTACATCTCGTGGTGTCGCTCGATAGTCGAATGTTAAGCTTCATTAATCTTCATACCGATCTATTTCCGAGCGGAGAATCTCTATCGCGGAATTCCGACGTACAAACCAGACTGACCCTACGCATTGAATCCCCGTGGTATTAATCTACCAAGGGAGAAAGGGGCGGACGGAGAAAAGTGCTGTCGACGCCATTAATTCGATTGGACGAGTCTCGGACCGTAGGCCTCGGGGATCCATTATGTATTAGGAGGATCGACTCGGTCCGCGGCCCTGTAAGATTAAAGTCAGAGCGATCACGAGAAGCCGCCGACTCAGCCACGAAAATCCCGAACATAATTTTCCCCATACGAGGATCTCGAGTCACCCGAGATAATGCGATGTTGCGGTTCAGTGCTCGGATACGGACTGCAGAAACACTACTTGCGGCAGCTCGTTGTTGCACAGTGTTGCAGTTCCCGTTCTTAGGGACAAAAATTGGTATTTGAAGTCTATTTGAGATATCGACCTAAAATTTTACATACACAAATTATATACGCAAAATAATGTTTTCTCTAAAGTCACTGACCAAATTTGGAACAATGAAGACAATAAGGGAGAAAGGGATCTATCAATTGCGGAAAAAGTGATACACTATATATTTTTATTATTAATATCAATAATATATAATATTATTACATATGATTGATATTTTGTATTATTTAAAATGAATGTCTCTCTTTTCCCTCAATAATTTTCCCAGAATTTTTTAAATAATTTTCAAATTTCCAAAAGTCACTCTCCAAAAGTTGGGTCTACTAACGTTGGTAGCAAAGTCGCTTTCTCGCGCATATATATTGGGACCTATCTTATGAGAAGCGGCCCTGTTGGTCCAGGTTGCGTCTCTCGTAAAGTGCTATTGCCGGGAGCACGCTTTTCTGTTCCCTCAGTAACTTTCCAAAGATTTTCTAAATAATTTTCGAGTTTTCACAAATCGGTCTCCGAAAGTAGGGTCGAGCGTGCGTATCTCGTCGCATACTGTCGGCTAGAGTACACTTTGAGTGAACATCCCTGTTCCCTCAGAAACTCCCCCAGAATCTTTAAAATAATTTCCAACTTCCAAAAATCGCTCTCCCAAGGTTGGATCCACTTTTATTGCGACTTTTATTGCATTGATACAAATTAGGCATCGCTATTACGATTACTCTGGTTGTATGGCGTCATTTGTTACTTGTTAGAACAAGATAAAGATTGCGTAAAAAATATCGCGAGCTTCTATAAAATATTCAGAGAAAGAGAGAGAAAGAAAAACAGAGGGAGAAAGCGAGACGTGCGCGATAGAGAGATGAATAAATAAATATCTGACAGTTAGTCCGTCGAATTGCTGTTGTCGAGATTAATCAAATCTTTCACAAACAGCATAATTATTATTAATGACAGGCCAGTAAAAACCTTCTTCGCGCTAAAAGCGCAAAACGACCTGGGCTTCCGTTTCCCCCTCCTTTTTTTTCATACACTGGCAGCCTCTTCAATCTGCCGGTAACGTCTGAAAAGCTAAAATTGCGGCCAAGTGGTGGTAGTATAGGAAGCGCGTGGTGGAAGCGCGCTTCCACGAGACAAAGCCGGATTGTTCCGCCGTGCGCGGAGGAAGAGGTGGAACGATCCCGAGCTTCCTGCAAACTGAAACCCACCGTCTCCTCGTCCTGCCTTCGCCACAACGTAGCGAAAGCTCGTTATATTTAAGCCGAGAAATATATACACATGTATGCGCCAGTTAACGCGGCTGTTACACGTGACTTGGTTAGCGCATTCACTACGGTACGCTGCGTCTTGGTATTGCGAATTAAATTATTTTCGTCGTCATATACGCGCCGGGGCATAACGCGGCCAATTCTCGTGCCGCCGAATTCCGTCGCGGCGCAATTTAGCGGGGAGTCTTCTCAGACGTGGCGCGATATGGCATGCTGCGGCTTGACGTGTACAATTTGAAGGTGTGAGACCGTTTCTTACCGCAAAACGGCACGGTGTCAAGTGGTAATGGCGTTAATTAAACGTCGTTGGGGAATTTTCATCGTGTTTTCCCAGCTTGGTTTGGTATAATGATTTAACTCTTTGAGATGTCCTTAAGGCACATAATATCTCTAAAAATAAAGATATTTTGATTGATCTGTCTACGTTATTTTATAACTAATTATAGTTTACTTGTAAAAGACAACAACCGAATTTTTCGTCAACTTTGATCTTTTGTAATCAAATTTTTTAATCTTTTCTTGCTGGAACTACTTTTCAAGTCAAGCTTTTAAAACTCTATTTATAGTTTTCTGACATTTTTCTTTATTAAAATATTAAAATAACACTAAATTTTTAGATTAAGAGGTCAAATAATTAATATATATTTTGAAGAATTTATTAAAGCTAAATGTGAATTGTATGGTTCAAACTCGAATGGAGTATTCCTAGGCGGCATAATTATGAAGCTGTTGATCGATTAATCGGTGAGGAAAGTCGACTTGTTGAGATTCAGCGGTATCTTCATAACTAACGAAGGAACGCACGCGATACATTTCCGCCGTATATATAGGAACGGGTATAAATCTCTCGGAATAACAGGAAACGGCTGGAATAAGAAGTAATAGAAAACAGACCGGCTCTCAAATGTCGCAATTCAAACCGCGGGGCAAAAACCATTTGGAAGGAAATGGCTGTAAAGTCGGTCACGTTGGCTGAAAGGATTCGCGTGATTTCTTTGTGAAAGTAATTCGTCTATATCCATGGCCCCATTCCCTCTACTTAGAGCTTACCCGGAGCCTTAAAATTCACCTTATTTTATTGGAGAGACCCAATTCGCGTGTTCTTCTCGCGAACATTTCTCTGGAGGGATCCCTCAAAGTTTCGTAATCTTCACATCAGTCGAAATCTCCCTTTCATTCGGCTGAAAAATGCGTTTTTGGCGGTTTTAAGTTGTCAAACAAATGTAATCGGGACAATCTGTTGAAAAGCTCGCTGATATTATATAGCTAATATATCAAATATTAATTCTCGACTGTACCTACCTTTAAGGATTTTCCCAATGGTCCGGCGCGTGTTATATGTTTATGTTGAGTTCTGAGGAATGTATTGACTCAACATTCTCTCAATTTTGACGTAACACAATTACGAGCTAGATTTAACAAAAAGACGCGAATATGTGCAATAAAATGCATTAATGTCCTTATTGAGCATAAAAAGCATAACTTCCTATCTATGGACTCTACAGATTCAGTCTCCCGGATAGATGCAATGTCAATACACATTCACATGTCAACACTTTCTGTACTGAGAAAGGACACCATTAATGCACCTAACTATACATATACAGCGAAGCGAATATTAAAAGGGAAAACAGTGAGTACGCTGAGTATATTAAAAAGAAAAGAGGAAAGGATATCACAAATATCCGTAATTATTATTGTAAATATCATTTATTTGACTCTTAGGCGTCATTGGGTACAACGATTACACCACGTTGCTTATTTGTAACATCTTAGCGATCTGAAAAAAATCGGGTTCGTCGAGTAGACTAAATCAAAGTGAAGACATCTCAGGTATGTTTATTTCATATATCTATAGGTAGTACCGACCGCGATCGCGCACCGTAGAACGCACCGTGCGACGAGCATTACTATTTAGCCGTCGGTAAGCCGCGCGAGTACAAATTCTATTTTTACAAAATTAGGAACCACCGAATTCACGAAAGAGTTATACTAAGGATGCTCGAAAGAAGCGAGATCGGTCGGGCAAACAAGACGCGCTACGTCGCTCCGTCGTCCCGTCCGATCGGGATAGAAGTATCGTAAAAGACAACGATGCCCGTGTTTCTCACGATGACTACAGCTAAGTTCAATGAGGACGTTTATAGGACACAGTGTACTTTTCTTTTTTATTGTAACGGTTCTCGTTGAAAAGTTCGTCATTCAAAGCGCCGTCGTCGTCGTCATCGTCGTCGTTGTCGGCGCCGCCGCTTTGTTCTCTCAACGAAACAAGCGTTGCGACCGTGCGAACGAGATTCGGGAGGGGAAGGCGAACGAGAACTTATGGCTAAATAAAACTTTATAAAAATATATCAACGAATAATAAATATATCTCTAACAGCGTCATTGTATAATTCGTATGTACGGGCGTACGACGTAGCCTATGCATTTACAATCACTATATACACGCTATCAAACTCTACTTACCTAGGTAATATACAACAATTTATTTTAGTCGCTCTATCCTCGGGAATATTTAACGTTGCACAATTAAACGGCTCTCATTCGATAGCACGACCACGCGACTCTCATTTCCGAGGTGCGCGCGAGAGAGGCAGACAGAAGAAGAGACCTCATACACGTCCTTCATAAGCCTCCTAGCTGTTCGCCGCGGAGCTTTTGATTGATGATGTAAGAGGTGAGGAAATGCATAGCTAAAATTCCTGCAAAGTCGAAAAGATATATCCAAACAATGACACTTGCAATCGATCAAGCACACCTCTAAAATACTCCCCGAAAAAAAAACACTTTCCTCTCGCTCTAACAATCAATAAATAACTATAAAATTTAGACACTTCCTTTTTAACCTAGATTTCCTCATTATTTTGTCATGTTAATTTTACGGTTATTTATCCGTTGTTCGGGCATAAAGCAAGCAAAAGTAAATTTAAGAGACGTGCTTGATCGATTGCAAGTGTTATTTTTTGAACATATTTTTTTTATTTCGACGTACTTTGATGTAATTTTGAACATGCATGCTCCTGACGTCACAAGTCAGGATGGCTACGGCGAGTAGCGAGGAGTCTTAATAGGGATTGATATCTCGCGTCTTCCTCTCCGTCGTATCGCGCTATTCCGCTCACTCAATCGTTACTATTTCGTATTACGGCGGCTGTATCCGCCCTGTTGTCCATCGTGTGGCTTTATTTCACAGTGTTATAATGATTACAGTACGGCGCACAGAGCCGAGCGTGTCGACCGCACGTTGACCAGTCATATACCTCTCGCTTTTCAGCCGTACAAAGTACGTGCGTCATTCGCGAGACCGACCGGAAAAAGATGGGGGAAAAAAGAGAAAAGAATTGGTCTCCGTTTCGTCCTGATCCCTACGCGCGGGAACGCCGTTCCACAATTCGAACATCAGAGATTATTAATCATTACCTATACAAATATATACACGTCGTATGGCGTATCGCGCGACCGCATTTCGTAATGCGCGCGGAGTTTCGTAGTTTACAAATTTTCTGTCTATATAAATATGCATTTCCCATCAGCGCCTGCGATTCCCTTTCCCTCCTGTCCGTCGTTATCCTCGTATAAGGCCAGAGAAGGACACCGATCGTACGCCTCGACATCGAATTTCGTCTCGATCGTCATGGGGATTCCTTCGCGTGGATGCGAGGAGTCACACGAAGTCTCGCGGTAAACGACCTGCACGATTCCTCCTACCACTCCTGCTCGCGATCGTAAATTCGTAAACGCGTTTTCTAAGATCGTCCGAGAACTCGCCGCCTCCTTATCCAAGGTACGCCACAAGGCCGTAATGGTCCCCGCGTCAGCGGAGCTTTCGTCGAACTTGGTTGCGCTCGCAATGCGCCAGTGATACGCGCGTATGTCGGCGTCGGGTCGCGCGCATCGTGGACAAAACCGTCGGGGAGAGAATTTCATTATGTACAAAGAAGATCTCCTTTCCCTTCGTCATCGAAAGTGCTGAACTTATCTGGGCATCGCTTCCGGTATCGCGCCGGGAGTCTCGCCGAGGTTTCCGTCACTGAGGTCTCCTCTGTCGGGCCGCCTCAGCGACGGTGTTCCTGCAGCATCGTCAGAAGCAGGCAAAACAGAAGGTATGTGACACTCGCTGACCGGATGTGGGCATGACTGTATCCGGAAGCGCGCGTCACGTTGAGCATAACGGAAGCGTCGGCGATCCCTTCCGGCGAGCGCACCACCAGCAGCCATTCTCCGGCGTGAGACCATTGAATCGTCTCAAAGTGCAGGGTCGTCCTGTAACAGGGTTTCGTGCCGCCATCCTGTAAAAGAACAAGACGGTGTGTGAGGAGTTGATTCGTGTTTCTTAGGAAGATCAAGATCGTTCCTTAAGAAGATCAAGATCGCGAGAAACCTCAACGTGGCTCTTTAAATTTGATAAGTGATGCGTGAAGGAAAAAGGAGTAGTATGATAATTGTTCTTACATGGGAGAGAATTTTATAGTAAAAATTATGGTAGAATTTTGTTAACCAAGAATAGATCGACATTCTACAGTAATTTATTATCCTTTTCTCTTCGAGAAATTATTAACAATACTAATATTGACATCTAAATAAGTATGAAGTCGATTGAGTTCACAATATTCCTGTATTCTTCAGATCCTTGATTCACTAACAAGTAAACCTGCTCAAAAGGTATACTCCGATTTCTTTCTAATTTGTCACAAATGTAGAAGTACAACAAATATTTTTTCATTTTGGCCCACTTTGAGTTTCACGGGCAGCTTATAGCTTTTTAATGTTCTCACTCCTATCATCAACAAGTACAATAAAAATGCATAAAAAATAAAATTACTGTCCGTGAAACTCAAAATGGGTCAAAATTATGACCTAAATATTTTTTGTACTTCTACATTTATGTCAAATTAGAAAGAAATCGGAGTGTAACTTTTGGGTAGGTTTACTTGTAAGTGCAACAACCGCATATATTTCCGGTCGAAAACAGTTCTCTGAGGTTAATTGAAAATCTCACTTGTATGCAGACTACAAAAGACACAGACTACAGATTACGAATTCATTCGTGGCTGATTTATATCAAATCTTTTTTCCCAACAAGATATTAGGTGAGATCCTCTATAGAGCAAGAGTTTTTAACATTTTTTGTGTCATGAATCTCTCAGAAGGAATAATGTTTCTAAATGCACGAAATATAAAGTACGCAAAATTACAAAGGAAGTTTGTCGCAATATGCACATTTATTGGAATATTAAAGAGACAAATTTGCCAAATTTGTCTCGTCTATGCTAAATTTCGGTCGGCGATTAACGAGAGCAAATTTTTTTCCCGTTCCGGTTAAGGGATCCCTTAAAATTCATCCACCCAGAGGTAAGAATTCGTTCTTTAAAGAGAATCCCAAAAGTTTTCTTTAACAAGCAGAACCAAGGGTAACGACGGGGCTACAATTCACGACGATAGGACGAGGCTTGCGTTCGCGAAGATCTTTATGAAGGTCTTCATGACGCTCTCATGGCGTTTTAAGCCACCGGGATCTGGTTGCCGCGGGTCATGCTTCCGACCAAGACGTTTTTATCGCATAATGCTCATTAACTCGCGATTCGATAACGTCCATCCAACCGTCCCAAGTCGTCCCTTATCGGGGGTGAGATATCCCCCTTCTAGGCCTTTACGATTAAACTTTCACGTAAAACTTCCGGGGGAAACTGGGAACTTCCGGCGTCGTCGTTCTACGTTCTCGCTTCAATTATCCATCTTACCTTCGACCACTTCCACTCAGGAAGCGCTCCCCTACTCCTTCGATTTTCTTCGCCTTTCATCTCCTTGAAATACGTTTTATTACTTTCCGCATTAGTACCCATATAATGACTCCTCTCTTTCTTCTCGACAGTCGTTCTTTGTTCATAGAAAAGTCAATCGTATTAAACCGCTCTCGCAGGCGGTAGGCAACTTTCGGTTTATGGGATAATTGCCCCATAATAGGGGTGTAATAATGACGGCTTGAACATGGTGGTAGAGAAGAATTGAGGATAAGGTTTTATTCAGGTGATAATTAAGATATATTCTTGTCGATAAAACGGTAGGACATGTATGTCGCGATGCGAAACGTTTGTCCTTTTCTCTCCCACCTGCGCTCCTCTCTTTCACATTGTAAAATAATATCAGATGTTACGATTCTAACGTATTTGATATCCCGCCGCCATTGTGAAATTCAAACGGGAATAATGTTACGTGACGCTTCGGCTTTCAATCTTATACCAGGGCGTCACCGGGACGCACACAGACGACTTCATAAGAGACTTTACCGTTCTGGTCGCGCGAAGCCGTGTCAGTGAATATACACGGCGTGTCATTGTGTTCTTTTAATATCGCAACGGCATTCTGCTCGCATCCGTTTTATTGGTAACGCGGCCAGGATCGAAGAGAACTACGTTTGCGTAATTGAATCGGGGCAGGCTCGCGTCGTCGTCGTCGTTGTCGTTGTCGTCTCTCGACGATATTTCGTCGCCGCGATTCGGAGCAGACGTCGTCGTGAAGGTCTCGCGAGTTTTTCGCATGCAAGGAGTCGCAGTTTCCTGCTCCATTTAACCCCGCGTTTCACCCATCCTCCCGCCGACTTCCACCCTTTCCGGCGCGGCGGAGGCCCCATCCGTCGATCCGTCCTTCTTGTATTCTCTATTCACGAGCTTTGCCCGTACTCCCTCCTGCTTTCTCGTCCCTCTCTTTGCGAATCATCTTCCGTTTCGTTCGCTACGTTTCCGTCAGTCCTCTCCCCGGCGTTCCTGCACCTTCATCTTCCTCCTATCGTTCCCTTTCATCTCATTCTATCTCCCTGCACCTTTCCATCTCTGCCGTTTTTACTATGCTATCATCTCAGCTTTACTTTACTCTCCCCTTCTCCACCCCGTTTCTCCTTCCTTTCTCTCTCTCTAGTTTGTTCAAACTTTCCCCGCTAACGCATTCTAACTTTCCGACTTTCGTTTTTTCCCTATTTCTCTCTCACTCTCTCTCCCCCCCTCTCTCTCTCTCTCTCGTCGTGGCATCTCGTCGTCCATCTTCCTTTACTTTGCTCGGTATTCCTTTGCTATCCTATTCTACTTTTCCCGTTCGCATTTCTTTTTTTCTATCAAGACTTCTCGACGTTTCTTTATCTTCTATTAACCTATTCCCTTCGTGAGTCCTCGTTTCCAGCATGCTCTTTTTGCTTCCTGTTTTGCAACATCATCGTCCTTTTCTTGCCATTTTCTATTTTTGCCATTAGTCTCTTATGTTTGAAACTATTTTAGTAGTAAGGCTTTCGTTATCATAAACTTATCTTGTTATAATATTATTCTAAGTTCTCTTGGGAAATTGTGTATAGATATAACTTCTTTCTCTTCGCGCGTGTCGCATATATTTACAACATGCTCCTCATAAAAACAACCACATTTAACAAAAAATATAATATAATATCATAAAAATACTTAAAAAGTAAGTTAAAAAATACTTGCGCAAATAAAAATAAAATTTGTGAAAGTGTTTTTTCAGTATATGTGATGTTATATTATACATATATGTTTTGTAATTTACTGGCCTGCGAAAAATAATACGACTACACCTCCCTCGTTTTGTATTAAGGCCACTCAATAATTATTTATTGAAGCGATGTACAATTTATTTAATAACGATTTGCTCTTGTTACTAAATATTTCCAATTATAAAAATATGAATATTTTATTAACACTTGTATCCGCAGTTCTTGCATTTTACAAAGCCAGCAATAAATAAGTCATTTTTCTATAGGACTGTACGCATAAAAGTTTTCGAGAAAGCAAATTTACACTCTGCTATACCATAGCTCTCAACCAATTTTCACGAAAAGGAGATCGATGCGTAAGCTGTGTTGTAAAAATATTTTGTGTACAAAGTATGCTGAAGAGGATTTTGTAGTATCTATTGACCGGAAAAAAACTGCGCACGACTCAATCGTTTCCTAGGGAAGTGAACCATCGAAGGTGTCACCCACCGATTTTTATGGCGTAAAATATAATGTAAAGCAATAAAAAAATAATAGATCTGCTTTTCACGTGCTATCTCAACATTTGGAAGTTGAAACAACCCCTTGCAGATAACGGAATATTTTATTATCCGAGAATGATTGATTCCCCGAGATATCCGGGAATATTTGATCTACCGAGGATTATTTTCCGAGAATATTTGACTTGTCAAGATTTTGAGAGAAAGCACGAGTCCGTCGTATTTTAGCGCTCCACATTACACCCAAAGCCCATAAAAATCGGGACGCACTCGCAAAACTCGTAGCGATGCCGATGACACGCGCCCCGCGTTTGTCGCACGTCGCTTTTGTCGCTCGGATCGCAGCGCTGCAAAAAGTGTAATGCGCGCCACCGACATCACGTAATCTATCGGACAACGCACACGTGTTTTTCAAATATAATAACCTGCAGGAGAGAGATGCACCACCGTGCAGTGATGAGCGCGCGACACTACGCAGCCCGCCCGCGCTTCGTTTCCCAACAAAATCCGCAATTTTCAATGGGATCGACCGCGCGCCAATCGTTACGCGCGCCGCGAAATCGAGCCGGTGCGCGTCCCCCATTGCGAAAAACGGCGGGAGAGAGAGAGAGGGACGAGGCGGGGAGCGGGGGGGGGGATGGAGAAGAGCGAAGAGGATCAAACGTTAATAAAAACAAACGCAACACCGGTGCATCGGCAAATCCCTCGAAAGCTCCGTCGCATTGTCCGCGCCCGCCGGCACTCCTGGAAAAATGGTTAATCCGTCTTTTATGATGCAGCGGCTACACCTCCGCGCGCGAACGCGGATTCCGTCTCGAATGGAAAAAGAAACGCGCGGGGGGAAATGAAATAAGCGTGTATACACGTACACGCGAGCACCCGTCCGTTCGCGCACAAACACACATCCCCGCAATCTCTCGTCACCATTCCTACCGTCATTTTCATCCCTTTCATCTCTCCGGGCCCGCGCGTTTTCGCATCGCGAGACAACGTGCGCGATGCCGCTACTCCCGCTTTCTCCGCAGTTTCCTTTTTTTTTCTTCCTTCTTTTCCCTTTTTGGCCCTGCTACACACGAGAGTCAAGGCGCGTCGCAATATCTCGGATATCGTGCGAACGTCCGCGCCGGGATAATTTTCGCGTCGAAGGACCGGACGCGCCTCCAGCTAGCGTGTAATCCGAGCGCGCGCGCGCATGAACAACGTCTCGGTGTTACAAAACACACGACGGATTTTTACAGTGCAACGAGCTGCGTTCTTCCTTTTCTTTCCTTTTTTTTTGTTGCATTTTCGTGGCGTTTTTACAGCGCGCGCGCGAGATTGCCAAAATACGTCACTCGGGTAAATATTTAAAATAATAGGTCAGACATCGTATATTTTTTTTGGAAACTTTGTTGTCCCATCCAATTTTTGTGATACGCAAAATCCACACGACACAGTGAGCAAGAAACGGCGAACGGGAATGCTATGTTTTCAGAGTTGTTGTGGCAAATTAAAAAGTAAGGAGATAAAGCTCCGAAAGATGCTCGATCGAAGCATAAAACGCGTGTAACCGAAGAAAATACACGAAAAAAATATTACAGTAAAAATTATGTTAAAATAGTATTTTCTTTCGCAAGATCTCTTGTAAAGCTGGACTATATTTAAATTGTGCTACAAATTATTATAGGAATAGAGCAAATTTTTATTCGTAGTAAAAATTCTCTCGTTTCATACATACGATATAAAAAAATATTCAAGTAATTACAATAATTTTATAGTAAAGAATCAAACGTGCGCGCGTAACATTTTTAAATAAGTATTCTGGTTATAATTCTGTATAGTCCAAAATCACAAAAATTTTGTTGTAATTTTTACTGTAATATATTTTCTCTGTGTATATAATATTTATATAGATATGGCACAGATACGTCAATACTGGTATATTTCCCGAACTGTAAGGCGATAAAACTGCACAAAGTAAAATATCGTTCGTTCATTTATAATTATAATTTTGATGTAAATATCGAAAATATTATGACAGAATATTTATCCAAAGTACGTGTGCAATTTAAATGATAATTCGCTATAAAATCTCAGCTCAAAATTCAGTTCTCATTAGCCGGTTTTTATTCGTCGATTTATATCTTGATTGGAGACATTAGACATCGCGCTTGAATGATCGACGTGCAATATTGCGGTGGAACTTATATTCTTACGTGGGCGAGGAACTTCGTGCGAGCAAATATTATTTCATCACGTTGAATCTCTAAATATCGTTACGGCGTGCAGGAGACGACAAATATTTGTAAGCCGCGGTATGTGATCAACGTATTTCTTGTATAGTTATGCAGTACGGTGTTTGTTGTTTGTCAAGCAGAGTTTACTATTCCTACACTCAATATTCTGTAATTACTTACGTATAAAGTGGGCGTGAGACGCGCAAGTACAATAAATTTACTCGATAGTCCGTGAGAATAAAAATATTCTCCATGAAGGCAAACCAAGCAATCGCATCACGACCTAATTATTTAGAACAAAATAAATGAAAATTTGATTTCGCGCTCTTAATTCATTGCGAGGGGGAAGTCCTCGCGGCGACGTTAACAACTCATTCACGGAACAACGTTCCTTGAATTTATTTCCTCGATTGACATTTCGTTTAAGAATACATTTAACAATGTATGACTATATTTTGTTCATAAGAACACGAAATTTCCTCAACTCAAACGCGTTTGGTTCAGTCAGGTTAATTCAACTAAACTTTTTTCCACGTGGATTGGCAAAATATTGCGGTAAATGTTACAACAAAATTTTCGTAAAACCATAGAGAATTATGTCCGAAATTATTTTATATTTGCTTAAAAATATTGCACTTTTGATTCTTTACTACAGAATTACTGTAATTACTTGAATGTTTTTCATGTTTAATAAATAATCAAGTTTACTACTCCTGTAATAATTTACAATCTCGGTGTAGTCCAGCTTTACAAGAGATTGTAAAAGGGAATATAATTTTAACGTAAATTTCACTACAATATTTTCTCCGCGTGTGTATGTTTATATATACGAGTATGTATATATTTGTACGATACTGTGCGATTCGGTGCATACAGTTAGGCAAGTAAATTTACCTCGATTGCGAGGGCTTGAACCCCATCGCGCGATGGTGCACCCGCTGTGTACACGTGCTCCTTCGACGTCCAGAAGACCGACGTGTAGCTCGGCTCGGCGCAGAACTCGACAATTATGTCCAAGGGTTCGCCCTCGTTCGCCGTCACCGCCTGACTCGGCGGATGAACCATGGGCCGCCCTACGGCAAAAAAGGCGATCGGTTAGCGAATCGGCATAATCATCCTTCCTCCCATACTATATGTGACTATAAATCTACCCGGGGCTTCTTCCACATTTTTCCGCTGAAAGCTTTGGATCTTATTAACTGCATGAATTCTCATCTGAGTGACAGAGAATAATTACGATTTTATTTTAATCGCGAGAGCGCGCTGTCGGGTATAGTTTCAACGACGAACTATTTTCTTTTTCGGCGCTTTGTCATCGGTTTGTTAAAATTCAGAGAAAACCACTCACAAGTGGTGGATGCAAGCGTACGCGTTGTAAACGAAAGACACGACGGAGAGAGCTGATCGATAGCGTGCATCACGGTGATTCTCCACTACTGCCATTTCAACGCCGCGACTATGATCGATCTTTATTTTTTTCTTAAATTATCGCTGACGCAGAAAAATCCTTCGGTCGATAGAGATGAAATTTGAGCTGATGACATCTTCTCTTTTCCGAGCCGTGTCAGCAAGCTTCATGTATAAATCGCCGATTGGCCTTAGATTGAGCGATATGAAACGCAAATGTAGGATAATGGAGCGATGGTAGATGATATATAGGTAGGTCGCAGCTATTAACGCAAGACAAATGACATGTCGCGACAGTAAATGCAGACTTTCGCGTCGCGTGTGCTTCCTACACTTTACGCACTTGCGACAGATGTCATTCAAGCTTTCGCAGAGAAGCGAAAAGCGGAGGAAAGCACGAGTGAATAAAGAAGACACCACGCAGAGCACGGGCGAGCTATTTCGTCAAACAAAAATATCCTCATGAAACGCGCCGAAAGCGCATTTGCTACTATGTTTTTCGACTTTTGTGATCTTTTAATACTTCCTTTAATACTCTTGGAACTTATAAAAATACTTCATTGCCAACAGACGACTGCTGCTCTCTTAAAGTACGTCAGTAAAATGAGTATAATACTTCACCGATAATCAGTGATTTCTAAACTGTCACTGATTTTCTGTAAAAATGTTCTCACTTTACTGTTCTATCTTGCATCTCACTTTATTTTGATCACATTAAAAGTAAGATTTTGCTGTAAATTCGTTCTATCCGAAATCGATCCTATGCTATCCCAAATCCATCTTCCCGCGTTTATGGCGATGAAATTGACTACTTATATGCAACTTACGTGCAGTAACACTGTTTGCAAACCGCATCAACAATAGAAACAATCGCTACTATTAACTGATCTCTCTAGCGAGATTTTAGTATTTTATTGTGATTGCTGTGCTACACTTATAACATATAAATATAGCGTTTCAGTGAAGAGTACACTGATGGTACTTTAGAGAGTGGCTGGCACGTAGATTTAAATCACTCATTTAGGTCTCTCGTTCTTAAAGGATTAAAGCACACGACGCAACTCAGCTGACGTTCAATTAGCGCGCGATATTCTCGTGTAGCATGCTCGTCACTCTGCGCTCTGCAAATTACTATAAATATTGGTCACGCAACCGTCTATTTATCGGAGCTTTGAGTGATTTAACGCTGTTAAGCGTTATTAAATAGACGATACGTCCGCTTGGCACGGGTATTTGCCGTGTGATAGATATTACTGTAGCGCGATAAATTTCTAAAAAGTTCTGGAACCGAAATGTACGGCCGGTCCGGCATATATATATATATATATATATATATATATATATATATATGTGTGTGTGTGTGCGTATGTATGTATGTATGTGTGTGTATATGTTTGTGCGTATGGTGACCCCCTACTGAATCCGTCCTCGGCCGTAAATCCCACCTTCGGTGACACTTCCTGTGCAGGGAATGACCCGGGGGCTGCAGAATGGGGATCGCCGACGATTAGCACTACTGTCACCCTGCCGACGTCTGCCGCCCTCTTCTGTTTACCGGCGCCTTGTGCCTCGTTAACGGTGAGGGATCGTTTGGTTGTTGGTGACCGTATTAATGGTACACGGTAAAACAAAACAGCCCGCATACCGGTTAGTTACGTGATGGCAGGCTGGGATCTTTCGCGAGAGCCATTAGCGGACACTAATGCGTGGCCCCGAAATTCGTTCTACTACTTTTTTTTCTCTCAATCACCGGTTAAGACTTCCTCTCTGATGCGTACATTCGCGTTGAACGTCGCGCGCGAGTTCCAATCCAAAGTACGCTATTTAAATTCATAAAGTTACACGATGCTCAGATGTTTAAAATTGATTGCAGTGTTATTCTCGCGTTTTCCCGATAATTACTGTCGTATGCGAAAATCACGCGACAAGCTGGAATGACGGCTCCTACGATTTACAGAGCGTCGTTGATTCAAGCGAAGTCTTGAGACGTCTTCGGGATTCGGCGAGACGAGAGATGCCAAGTAATACTGGCGCGAGCCAAGCGTGGAAACTTGGTTGGCGTCGTGAGACAATGCAAGCAGCCCGCAGCACATTACTGCGACGTGTAGAGCGTTCGCGCGCACAAATTGCAATCATGGGTTTTCGATTTCCCAGCCTCAAGGTGATCGCGATTCCGCAAATTGTCTCGCGCACTACTGTATTCGGATTTCCCGCGCGCCGGCTGTGTGTAGGTCTGTCGACACAATTTGGGATTCGCGAGTTAGCGCTCGTGGCTTAGAAAATCGAGCGGGACAGCGGAGTCGTGACGACACAAAGCTTTCTTTCGCGAATCCGCCTCGTCAAGAGAATTCCCCCACGAATCACCGAGACACTTCTCATTACGAAGTAAATTACCTAAGTACAAGAGGCCGCGCTTCGGGTGGCATTGCAGATGTCCGTGGATTCTTCTTTTCTGAGACTATATTAAACATCTACGTTGTCCTCCGAATAATTTAAGCAGTAAATTGAGAGGGAGAGAAGGGAAGAGAAAAGAACCGAATAGGAAGAGAATAGAGCGGATGAAAGTCGCGTAATCCGGGACAATTTGTATCCGGTATAATTTGTCCGAATACCTCTGTCTCTTTCTCTGACGATCTTTCTTTCTTGAATATGCAGACTGAAGAATCGCGCGCGTTTTTTCGACATTTTGCAATCGCGTGAAACAGAAGACAGAAAGAAATTAATGCCATTCCTCCACGTAAAAACGCCTAATTACGCCGTCTTCTCGGCCAAGTGCAGGCAGGGGAACGGACGGTCGACAGACAGTTGCTATGACAAATTGCACGGTATCATCAGCTTTATCCGCGTACTTTAGCTAATTGAAGCGTGGACGCCGCCACTTAACCCTCGGTGACTGCCTCTCTTTTGGCTCATTTTCCACTCGACGACCATCACCTCCCCCTCCCCTCCCCTTCCCTTGCCTTCCTCCTTTTCTCCCTGAACGGCCTCTCATCTGTACGGATTTCCTGCTTCGTAAAGCAAGCTTTCTGACCCCGACCGCGCCACCCGTAGGGTGAATAGAAGCGGAACAGTACCAGCTCCGACCGTGTGCGGCATCGTTCATGAATATTCGCTGCCGTTGAAATTGCTCGAATATCTCGGATGCAGTAGCCGTCCCTGCGGCGAAGGGCGAGTCTTCGCGCCGCCCTTCTGTCAACCCTGTGTCTCGTCATGGCGCGCGACGCCAATGAGTTCGCGCGGTCGAACGTCCTTTCGGCGACACAAAAAGCCCGCGGCTTTTTCGGCATTCTCACGCATCCATGATGAAGCCATTCCCTCACGTGTGTATTATGCAGCCACGTGGAGACCGCGTCGCGTGCCGCGCGTGATCCGCGTGCCGGGACCATCTCTGCGGAGATGTACGAGGCCGGACGGATTGCGGAAACGAAACAGGCTGTTTCCCTCGCTTCGCACGCGTGTGTCTGTGTGTGTGTGATCGATCTAAAAGTCTATTTCTAAATTTAAAAAATATATATGCACGGAGGAAATATTATAGTTCTCTTCTGTTTCATATAAATTCATCCAAATTTACTCGTTTCTACTCTCTTAAAGTGAATCAGTAAAAATGTTTTAGTTGAATTAGTAAAAAGACTTTCGCCGATAATCAGTGAATATTCAGTAATTTTTCAGTATATAGTAATTTTCAGTGGAAACATTCCCATTTTACTACTTCGTTTTATATCTCACTGATTTTAACCAGTGGAAGTGCGATTTCATAATACACGCGAAATTTACAATACATAAATTCGTTATACATTATATCAAACCCAACTTTCTGCGTTTGTGAGGATGAAATTATCGTCGATGAAATTATGTTCCATACAACTCACGTACAATGGCACTGTCCGTGTTTGCAAACTGCATCAATAATAGAAACAGTCGCTACTATTAACTGATCGTATCCATCTATTTTTCCTCGGCGATATTTTACTGATTTCATTATTATATTTATAACATATCTAAATTTATATCATTAGTTATAAGTATAGCATCTTAATGAAAAATATACTTGATTATACTTTAGAGAGTAGTAATACAGAAGAGTAGACTGCCCAGTAAGGTATATCTTGCTAAAGAACATGATAAACTTGGTTAAGAACACAGCAAAGTTTTTAATAGCATATATGAAGTGAAAGAATACTTAATTACTGCAGAGAATATCGACCCGTCTCTCTTGTTTACAAAGTTATATAATAATTTTTATCATAAAATTCTCTCTATATATGTTTATCAGGTTTCTATCACGCATTCACTCGCTGTTATCAGGGGTTACAATGTCCATCCTTTATATTAATTCTCGCACGTAAATTAGTTATTCCCGCACATATCGAGTAATTCTGGCAGTTATAAATTCCCTTTGACAGTTCTGAATTTGCAATGAAAGTTGAACTTTCACGTCCTTCACGTAGGGACGCTGCAAAATTTCTAATTATTAATTCACCTAACGGATACTACAGCGCGAGTTAAGTTTTCATACGCGCGAATTGTACGCCCGAAGTAAGACTGCGTCGAGGAGAAATGCCATAAACAAAATGTTCGAGTGGCCTGGTGCACGCCATTTGGCTTCACGGTTTGACAAGGATTATGAGGGTGTTAACGACCACCACTCGACAAGCGCGAGCGGCAG